TGAAAGCGGCTCCCTGAGGCAGCAGCGCCTGGCGGGGCTGCAGGGCAGCCGGGGAGCATGAGGGCAGTGGGAGTGCGAGTGCCCATGGGCCGGGGTGCACAGCTGCCATGGCTGGCGCTGCACCGAGACATGGTGTTGCCAGCCCCTCGTGGTCCACGAGGACATGGGCTGGACATTGGAGTTGGTTTATAATTTCCATTAATGGTGGAAACCACATGCCCAGGCTTTGAGAGTGCACAGAGGTAGGGACAGCCACTCTCAGGGTCAGCACTGTCACTCAAAGGGACGGGGTGGCTGTCGGGGTCTGCGGGGGGATGGCACTCCTGGGGAAGCGAGCGTGGTCTCTGCTCAGAGCAGACATGTGGGGCAGAGGAGCTGGGTCCCACCTGCTGGCAGGGTGATGTTGTCCCTTTGACAGGAGGTGCCGTGAGGGAGCCCTGACAGTGCCTGTCCTTCCCTTGCAGCTTGGGGGCTGCGGAGGATGTGGAACCCCAACCAAGGTGAGGGGCCGTGTGGCTGGGCAGGACTGCGGGTACCACACAGCCATTGGGGCTTGGAGGGGGGCTCAGTGCAATCTCCATGGGCACCCAGGGGGGATTACCTGCATACCAGAGGGGAGTGGGACATCATTTGTGAGGAGGGGGTAGACCAGGAGGCGGAGGGGTCCTTTGGGTGCATGGGTATGCCCCCTGCATTGCCTGTCTGGGGAGAGTCCGTCTCTGCTCCCTAACAGCCCCCCTCTTCTTCCTAGGTGTGCCTGGAGGGGTGCCACCACCACAAGTGCAAATTTGCCCGCCTGCCCCTCCAGGATACCCTGGTCCTGGCACTCCAGCAGGTCCCTACCCTGGCTATCCTCCAGTGCCGCCTGGCACCCCTGGAGCCTATCCCCCGGCACCCCCAGGTGGCCATCCCTGTGGCCCCCCTCCGCCTGGCCTCTACCCCACCCCCATGGGCACCCCCCACTGGGGCATCATCCCCATGGGCACCCCCATCCAGGACCACCCGGAATGCCGGGGTGCCCACCGTGCCCCCCTGACTGCCATCAGAAGCACCATAAGAAGCACAAGAAGAAGCACTCCAAGCACCATGGAGGCAAGGTAAGAGTGAGGCAGCAGCAGGCCTTTCTGAATCTCTGCTGTGGTCCTTCAGACACCCTCACACATTCCACAGCATCCAGCCTGGGCAGCTAGGGCTCCCCTCTTCCACCCTGTGGCAGCTGGAGCAGGCTGCCAACACCTCAGTGGCTTTTTTAAGATGTGGTGACTCCTGTTTGGTTAATAAATAGGCAAGTATGAGTCATTTCAAGCGAGTCTTTTGAAACGTGATCCATGAAATTCCTTGAAGCCATTTGAAAGTGACACAGCTCAGGGTGCACCACAGGGTGTATTAAATTCCAGGACTTTGTCCTGCTCATCCGAGAGCAAGTCATGCCTCCGTAAGGGACATTTGCTCAGTGTCCTGCAGCAGGGGAGCAGTTCAGTTCCCTCTTAAAAAACGAGGAAAAAAAAAACAAACCACCCCAAAAAAGGAAAAGCAGTTCTCTGTGCCAGGAGTAGATGCTGCAGAAAATGCCATTCCAGTGATGGGCACCATCTGGAGTAGGTCTGAGTGAGGGACTGCTAAACAAAACCCCAGTTCCACCATCAGAGGTAGGAGCATTTCCCAAACAAAGCAAACCCTCAGCTCCTTTCACTGTGTAACAGCTCTGAAAGTGATTTGCCTTGAGGTTTACTGCAGAGAGCAGGACCCTTCTGGACTTTGCTTAATTGTCCTGAACACCCTTGTAAAATAATAATGAAAAAACCAGCCCTCCCATGTTATGCCTGTAATTATATTCTCCAAGCAGAAAAATAATGGCTCCAAACTCTAAAACGTGGTTTGTAACAGCATTGCAATAAACATTGTGGTGATGTTATTAGTAGCCATTTTATCTTTAAGTCAAGGTATCCTGTCCAGGGTTTGCTGTCTGAGGTCATGGTGCTGTGCTGACTCCCACGCAGGGTCACCCTCCACATGGCCCCCTGGGCCTTGACATTAACTAATTACCAGCTTGCAATCCAGTCAGCGTGCAAACCTGAGGGCACCGCTCTTGCTGGAGTGCAGACACCTGGGGGGAGGTGGGTCTGGAGCCACCACTGCTGCAGGCTCAACCTGGACCCAGCTGGGCACTGGGAACGGGCACCCACCACAGGATTGCTAACACCTATCAGAAATGGTGTGAAAGAGGGTTGTTTCCATGCTACCCTAAAGTTGTTTTATCTCCTCCAGCACTCCAGCAGCTCAAGCAGCTCAAGCAGCAGTTCTGACTCTGACTGAAGAGGACATCTCCCACCTGCATGGCAGTGAAGTGACAAAACAAGAAGCAGAATGCCCCATGGGAACCACCTGCATGTTGCTCCATTCCCTTCCCCTTTCTCTTAGAGTGGCATTTTGCCCGCTGAGTGATTTTTCTTGTTTTTAGCTTGTAAATTCTTTGACCTGGAATCGCTGTGAGATGATGGGCAGCAGCTCCATCCTCTGTCTTTCAGGAGAGCCCACTGAAAGTCATCCCTGAGGCTGCAGGTAGCAGCATGGGGAGTATCATGTGCTGGCTTGCATTCTGCTGGTGTCCGCGTGTTTTTTCCTGTGCAATGATGCCAGCTGCTAACGTGGATCCCACTGCCCATAGAAGTATTTACATTTCATGTGAGCTTTCCCAGCTGTAGCAGAGGGGCTGGCCAGTGAATGCCATAACTTTCCCCTTGCTGAGCTGTATGGGTTGCCATCCTCCATGCGAGGGTAATAATTAATTAGATAATTATAATTAATGATAGTGAGCTCTCTTTCTGAAGCCCCTGAGCCATGGCCATGGGACTGCAGCATGCTCACAAAAAAAGGTGAAAAGCCTGGCAGTGCTTTCACCACAACAATTTTAACACAGGGCTGCTTTTAATGCTGCTTTATTTTTGTTTTGCCCATTGTCATGGCTCAAGAGGATCCTTCCCAGCCCCGTTATCAAGAAGGCTTTGCTGCCAGCCGGTGTGACTGGCTGCTGGAACCAGCAGCACAAACACGAACAGCTCACTGTGGCAGAGGGAATCTCCAAAAGAGGTGGCACAGCCCATCTCACCCAGATTTACTGCCAGCGCAGCCTTGTTAGTCCTTGTTGCACTGTTGGCTGGGCGTGTGTGTGTGCTGGGGCAGTGGGATTTCACTCCTGTGGCTCCACTCTGGATGCAGTCATGTTTTGTCCTGTGGCCCTCGAAGCTCCCCTATAGCTAGCTCTCCTTTCCAAAGTAGGGAAAACACAGCAGTGACACTGCAGCACACATGGCCACAGCTCCCCACTGCCGTGCCCTTCCCTGCACCCGCACTGCCAGCGCCTCTGCACCCCATGCCTGGGGTCCCCTATGGACAACCCAAGCCCTGCCCAGCCTCTCCTCCCCATCCCACTTCCACCACCATGGATGTGACTTTTCAGAAATGCCCCTGTCCTTGGAGGGTTTCCCTGCCCCACTGTCCTGGCTTGAGACACACAAGCGTTGGATGCAAGAGGGGCTGAAGAAAGCATGGGGAAAACCTGACTCAGGTGCAATACCATCTTCATGGTGGGGAAAGGCACAGCCCCCCTCAAAGAGGGGCACCTGAGGACCCCTGTTCTCCTCACCCATGAACAGGTGAGGAAGATGAAGTAGGAGAGGAATGAAGACATGGTCTTTGTCATGCTGAGAGACCACAGTCTGATGGGCACTAGGGGGGTGCGGGGCCATGGGGCAGAGGAACAGGTCTGCAAGGGGACTGCTGCAGACAATGGGGAGAGCTGGATGGGCCCCATCAGCATCCTGCAGTCCTTCAGGTCCTCAGCGGTGCGCCGTGACCCCTGTGCTGCAGGGACCCCTGGCCTTGTGCTCCAGCATTTGCAAGGAGAGGCAAAATACGAACTTGCCTGGACGTACCAGCTTAGCACCAGGAGAATCAGCTGCTCATAAAAATAATTAAAAAACCCCAGACAAACTACAGAATAAAGAGGCTTTTTCAGGATAGGGTGAAAAGAGTTTGTTTATTTTTGCAGACAGCACAATTCAAGTTCAAATCTGGGCATTGCTCAGCAGATACTGGTGGGAAGAAGGCACCATGGTTGCTTTGAGCACATTAGGATGACAGGGAGGCAGCTTGGGTAGCTGCCCAGTATTTTGTGAGATGCTGGGAGGCATGCTGCCCCTCTCAGCCAGGATTTTGGGTGCAGTAATAAGTGAACAGGTTCTGATGAAGGTCGGAATGGCAGAAGGAAGCAAGGGAGATATAGCCCACAGGAAAATGAAGATCTTGAAGATGATCTGTGAAATTTAGGATAGATAGAGCCCCAAAAGGAGCATCTGCAGACAACTGTAGAAGGCAGCAAAACCTCTCACCATCCCATTGCTCCTGGGAAAGAGGAGCAAGCCACCAAGGGCCATGCAAAAGGAAAGCAAGTCGCTGACCGTTTCAAACAGCATGTGATGTGTCATAAACTTACTCGGTTCTCTCAGGGCAGAAGTATCGAGAGAACAAAAAAGGTGAGATAATCTGGAAAAGGGTTTGCTAAAGAACAGGGGATGTCACAACTGTAAAGCTCCTCACAGGATGTTGAGGGATATTGAGAGTTTTTGAAAACTAGAGATGATAATTTGTCCTACTACACTGGAAAGGTTTCTCGTTTCTCTGACAAGCCCTCCTAGGATTACAGTATGTATGCAAGGCATGGCTTAGTGTGTGTAAAGCTTTAGAGAAGTACATCATATGGCTCTGTATCCTGCTTTGATCTTGGTTTTAATTAGCACCATAAATGTAAGATACACAACTTTTCATCATGAAAATTAAAAGAAAATGAGCTCTGGATTTTGGCTAGAAAGGAGGACCCAGAGGGCAGCTGGTTCTGGGTCAGCTCAGAGTTGCTAGCAACCATACAGAGGGGAGAAAATGAAACAGGTAATATCAGGGGTATGCATACTGGTGAGAGGAGGAATGTGCACTCCCTTCATTTAACATATCCACCTAATGAACCTGTCGAAGAAGCTGGGCTGGGAGAGGCTATCATAGTCCTTCTCCCGGAAGATGGCTGCCCGGTCCCCGAGGCCAAGCTTCAG